ATTGTTGAAGTTGCTCCCTCTGACAGAATGGGATCACAGCTCAGACTTTAAAGCCAACACTGGGGGATTTTCTTAATGTGGTAAGATAAGGTGGTTGATTAGGCAGGTGCTTTATGTACTATACATGCTCAAGTTGTGGCTTCACAGATTTTTTTTTTTTTTTTTTTAAGTTGCTTCTGGTCTTGATTGAAGGTTCCATAGAGGAGGAGGAGGAACTGGCTACACACAGTGCTGTTAAATGCCCAAAATAAGATTTAATATCTTATCTTACAGTAATTGTAGGTTAAGCATTTTCAGTCAACAGTTATTTGTTAATATCTACTACTATTTACCTGCTGACGATGGTATAAAAAAGTATTTCATTAAAGGTAAACAGTTAATCGGAAAGTACGTTAAGAGCAATGGTGTTCAACTTCTTCCCTCACAAGCCTTTCCCTAGAGAAGCAGATGGCTACTGTACAAACCTGATTTATTTATTTTTTTTGCTTTAACTAGAAATTAGTTTCCATTGAAATCCATTTATGTATTTTTTTCCTAGTAGTAGGTTGTATTGTTTGGTTTTTTTAAGTTGTAACTTCAGTGATTATATTGTCAGATGCCTCCAATTAGAGCGGTGATAAGTGTGACTACTCATGTCAACGTTGGTATTTTCACTTAAATATGAAAAACCCAGAATAGGGACCTGCTACTTAACCATTATGCAAAACAATAGAGTAGTAGTTATTGGTTAAGTTGTACCAAACCAGTCTTAGTTCTTCTTCCTCTGTAATTCTCCCTCTAGGCAGCTGCTCTGTCCCCTGCCACAGATATGACTCTAGGCCAAACCTTGTTTTGAAGACGCTGTCAAATATCAAAGGCCAATTATGTGGTATTCAGCATTAAGTGAAAGTTTAAGAATCACTTCCATAACTGCCTCGAGGCCATCTTTGTACATGTCTGTAGTGACCCTTTTAGGCACATAGTAATTACTATTTATTTGCATCATGGTAGCACCTAGAAGACCTACTCTGACCAGGACCTTATTGTGCTAGGTACTGTACAAACAGAAGAAAAGCTGTCCCTGCCGCACCATGTCCCCCAAACACCCAAAGAGCTTTACAATCTAAGGTAACGTTCTTTTTTTGGTTGGCAACATCTTATGATTAAATAAACAGACGCAATGTTAAAAAAATTTAATGCCTAGCTGACAAATCTTCATATGTACATAATATTAAACAAAGATTGTGTGATCAGTATGGTGTTCCTCCTATTGACTTCAATATATTCTCTCTCTCGTCTGCTGTAGGCATATTTGGTTTCACACCATCTCTTCTCCTTTGTATCATAATGGCATGCTGTAAACAGAAGAAAGTGAGTATGAGAACACACTGATGTCTCAGAAGTCTCTGACTCTAATTTAGCTCTTAGTGAATGTACTTCTGAGAAGTACTTTATAGCAGAAACTAGGTACTTAACTTCAGTTAAATGCACTGGTATTGGGCAAGTAACATCAGATAATCCACCTTACCGTTTCAGTAGACAGTGAAAGCAAATACTTTTAAAGAACTACAGTATTCTCCTGGCAATGTCAGATTAACTGCATAATTGTGCAACCTACCAAAAAAGCTGTTTGCAGACAAGTATTATTGAAAGTCATTAGCTAAAGGGTGTTGCTAGTACAGCACAGAAGGAGTGATTTCTCTGCTGCTATTCCCACTGCAGAATGTTTTGTCTGAACAAGAAAAAGCTGGAGTTAGAAGGAAACTTAAGTGGCAGCAGCAGAACACCCCATGGGGGGGCAGGAGGGAGTTATGATATATTAATAGGAAGCAAGATGAAGTGTAGGAGAACAATTTCAGGGAAGACAAAGGGTAGGTCTTCACTACCGGCGGGCAGCGATGGATCCAGTGGGGATTGATTTATCGTGTCTAGTCTAGATGCAATAAATCGATCCCTGAGCGCTCTCCCATCGACTTCTGTACTCCAGAGAAGTGCAGGCAGAGTCAACCGGGGGGAGCGGCAGCAGTCGACTCACTGTAGTGAAGACACCGCGGTAAGTTGATCTAAGTATGTAGACTTCAGCTACGTTATTCACGCCCAGTGTAGACCAGGCCAAAGTGAATAGAATGGTGAGGGAAGTTAACATAGGAAGGAAAACTCCCTGATTATATTGTTTAAAAATTTTGTTCTAATATATCCATGAGATTTGGGTCAGGATATAGTACCAGTACTAAATTCTAAGGATTTAGAAGGAGACTGGGCGTATTTAACACTGCAAAAAACATTTGAGTAGACCCACTCAGATTTGTAAAAAAGGACAAATATAGCAGTTTAAGACTTGCACTTATGCATTACTTTAACGTCCGAAAATTACTTAGCATAGTCATTGTTCTTAAAATTACAGAGGCAAAACTAAAATTACTTTTGTTCTTTCATTACTGTTTTAGCACTATTAAAATGAAAATACTAGAACCTTAATACATGTCAGAGTATTGACTGTATAAACTGGAATTATCTAGTGCAAAAAGTTTTATTAGTGTTAGGCATTAGTTACCAGGATAAACCCAAAGGACTGTTTTGTTAAACCAAAATATTCTGTTTGATTGAGAATTTTGCTCAAGCCTACTTACCCAAAATTTTCTGCAGTTTTTGTACTTTAAAAAATAAGAGGCACACATATCCTTTCTGTAGTTATTGTCATCCAAACATTGTCTAGAGGCATCCGTTTCCTTTAATATGGAAGACATGTCACACTTAAGAGCTGGTGGGGATAAATATATTTACACATTTTTAGTGCATTATTTCATTCTAAAAAATCCCCAAAGTATTTTAGAAATTAAGATTAAGGGAGGCAGCCAACCTGTCTAAGTAGAAGGAGAAACTTTACATCAAGGATACTAGGGCAAACTCCTGCTCTTACAAGAAGGGCCAGGGAATCTGAAAGCAAAGACTTCAAAACTAGGACTTGTGGCTGCTCAGAACCTCTGGGGGGAAAAAAAGTCATCCGTCTGCAGAACAGATAGAAGTTCTGTTTGGCTCTTTCAAAAGAACACAGTAAACTGCAAAACACTTGATTTTTTTTTTTTTAGGTAATTAAAAGAGAGGGGAACAAATCCAAGCTACAAGGATTTAAGTCTGTCCTTGAAACCACAATCAGAATTCCAAACCTGATAACCAGAAGCCTACCCCATCCATTCATGAAGAGCTATTAGTTTCTGAACTTAATATTTTCAACTTAAAAGGTCCAAATATTTCTGATGTTTACAGCCACACATACACCCCTTCAGAAGGAAGATGAAGAATTATAAACTACTTGCTTTTAGAAGGAACTATTTGGGTAGTTTTCATACCCCTACAGTAATGCATCTTCAGATTAAATCATAACTGACCAATCTTACCGCTAGACATGGATTTGTATCGTGGTCTCTAAGTCGCTGCACATTTCTGGACATCCTAAAATGTCTTACTGCAGCTAGAAGCAGGAAAGAAAGAATTTTTTTTATATTTGACCCACGAGTGCCATTAATGTTAAGAGTCTCAGTTTGAATTTCCATTTTAAGTGGTTTAACACAGAAACCTCTACCATAGTACATACATGCAAGACTTGGCAGAGATTTTTTTTAAAAACATAATTTAGAAAAAAAGGAATACAGAAACTTGTTCGGTTTTCTGTATACAAGAGGCCTGGTTTTCTACTGTATTAGGATGCTTCATGCTACTCTGATGGTACAAAGCAGCTCAGACCAGTTTAGCAAGCCACTAGGATTCCATTTTCCTAGCCATGTAGTAGCTCCTATGCCAACTCCTGATGATCAGTGTAGGGATTTGGCTGAGGAAAGGGGTATGTCTCACATAGTCCTACACCCCCAAACTCCCCAGATACTACAAAAGGCCCTAGGGACTTTTAACAGCCACTGCATATTTGGAGAACTCTCAAACTGCTCTAATTTAAACTGGTGACCAGCCTTGCACCCAGATGGCACAGAACTGAAAAGGAGTAATGTGCACAAGCAAACCCCTCCTAGCTTGGGTCAAGTGCTTCTTGGCCAGTCCACAAGAATCAGGGCCATAGTGGAAACTAGGCTTTGAGTACAGAAACATCTAGATCTACTACATTACCAATTAGGGACATGTTTGAGATACAAAAATGGTTCCTTAGGGTCCACTTATGTCCTACTTAACCCACATTTAACAAATCAGATTTTTAAACAATGATTACATACTAATATTGAAGCTAGTTTCTAATTGCTAAACCAGTGTGAAATAAAGTAGAAAACTAGTTTCAGTTTGACACCGAGCTTCCTATTTGATCTCAAATATTTTTCTGCAAAAAGCTGCTGTTAAAGACATGCTTAGAAATACAAATGTAATTTAAGAGTATCTACAGTAAAAATAGCACCCTGTACTAACTCTGCTTATATCAGTAACAAATCTATTTAGTCCTTTTTAGTGTTCTTACCACTGCAGAGCCAATACATAGGAGGTAGTGGGATTCTAGTACTTTTTGTAAATGAACTGAACTGTTAAGTTTCAATTGCAGGCCAAATTCTGCCCTTAGTTACACTTGGGCAGCCTCTCTGAAAACTAGGTTGCCCAGGTGCTTCTGAGGGCAGAATTTGGTTTCCTAATTTGTTTGGGGGTGGTTTTATTTACACCACAGGTAATTGTGTACAAGGGAGAAACAGCAGCTTCAGATCTAAGACCAGAGTATACAGTTGGAACATGTTTTTTAAACAGAGTTTGAAGTCACTGAAACAAGAATGGAACTCCGATGCCTTTTCCAATGGAGAATCACACTTTAGAACATTGTTTCTTTTGAGAAGCATTTGAACTCTCAGATTTTAGTGATGAGGGAAGACGGCATACAAGTTAAAAATATTAATTCACATACTGAAAGTTTTTTTTAGCAACCGTTTTCACAGTGAGCTTGACATTTTAGCTGTATTGTAACTGATATCTGGAGCTAAATATTCAGTTTCTTAGCTAGAGCGTTTTTGATCACACAGGGTTTAAAAATAAAATGGATGTACACTAACAGTAATGCTAGTTCTTAGATAACCAGGGATTGCGGAAAAGGCCAAAAGAACCTACCATACATACTCGTTCATTAGCCCGTTCGTTTATAAGCCAACCCCCTAAGATGGTTAGGTAAAAACAGCAAAACCTGTATGACCCTTTCATAAGCCGACCCTATATTTCAGGGGTTGGCAAACTTTGGCTTCTGGCCATCAAGGTAAGCCGCTAGCGGGTCAGGACATTTTGTTTACTTGGAGCATCTGCAGGCATGGAGCCCCTCCGCGGCCACGGGGCGCTGAGGGGCTCCATGCCCGCAGGAGCTCCAAGTAAACAAAACGACAATGTATTAGATATTCAATTCAATGATTCCATAGAGTTTAAAATCATCAAATTTTGGTGTAAACCCATTTATAAGCCGACCCCTGCTCTTCGATGCGTCACTTTTTTTACCAAAAACATTCAGCTTATGAACGGGTATATAAGGTACATCCTATCTACATAATTGCTATTAACATGACATTTCAGAGGTTTGCCCAAGTATTACTTATAACTGGTGTGTTGCATTTATTTTAGAAAAGCAGGCTCAATAAGGACACATTGCTGGTATGCTTTTAAGACCATCGCCATGAAAGTGATCTTTCAATGAAGAGGCCGAAGGTCACTTACTGGAAGCAGATTTTGTCTAATGTTTACACTATTAATGTCAGTCAGTACCTCGGGGAGTGGAGGGATAGCTCAGTGGTTTGAGCATTGGCCTGCTAAACCCAGGGTTGTAAGCTCAATCCTTGAGGGGGCCACTTAGGGATCTGGGCCAAAATCAGTACTTAGTCCTGCTAGTGAAGGCAGGGGGCTGGACTTGATGACCTTTCAAGGTCCCTTCCAGTTCTAGGAGATGGGATATCTCAATTTTTGGTGGTGGAGTCTCCTTCCTTGGAGGTTTTTAAGGCCCGGCTTGACAAAGCCCTGGCTGGGATGATTTAGCTGGGAATTGGTCCTGCTTTGAGCAGGGGGTTGGACTAGATGACCTCTTGAGGTCCCTTCCAACTCTGATATTCTATGATTCTATGATTCTATGACAAATGACTAATAGCTCATTTAAAGCAGAGATATTTCCAGTGCTTGTCAATCTGTCTAGTCCAATTGACAATGAAATGTAGAAAGTGTATTGTTTGTCAATTTAATGTTTAAAAAGTAGGTTTTGTTCTTATGAAGTTGTTTAGTAATTTGGTTTAGAATGTGCAAAAACTTGTCTATTTGCAAAAATACTGAGCACTACTACAAAAAATACTTCACAGGTAAGGGCAGCGTGGAAGATAATCTGATGACTCTTGAACTGAATTTTCTATGAAGTGCTTCAACAACATTAGGAGCACAACCCACTATCAAGCCTGACATACAGGTAGCTCACATGCAAATGCTACTACTATTTGAGTTAATAGGAAGTAATCTCTTCCCCCTCCCCCCTCCAATTTTTACACATACACAGACGGACCTGCCTGCTTTAGGAATACAGGGCCAACCCCAAACACATCAAGGCTTTGTTTATACTACAGTTTTTAATTATGTTTTACTAAATTAATGAACAGTTGTAAATAATAGCACAGACAAGGAAAATATTTCTTACTAGTACAGTTTAACCCCAGGGCATACTTTCAGTTCAAGACCCATCAAGCTATTTTCCAGGGCTCCCAGGGCCAAGTGTTTCAGCGGAACCCAGTACAGTCAAGCCCTAAATCTGTCATTAACGAGGTGGGCTGAATTAACACCTCGATCTGTGAGAGCGGAGGAGGCTACAACAGGGGGCTGAGTGGTTTAGGGGCTGCCCCTCGCCTGGCCTCTCCCGTCTCAAAGCGGGGACAGGAAGGTGCCTCCAAAGATCTGCTTACGGGCAAGTCACTTTCTCGGGCGCTGCGCTCCAGGCACCTGGCGGGTCTCGGGAGGCCCCAGGCTCCGTCCCCGAGCTGCCCCCGGGGACACGCAGCACACGCT